GGGAGAGGGTTTGATGACTAAATAGCGGCAATAAAGCATCGCTGCTGGGGTGTTACAGACCTAACGCCGCCCTACGTGCCTCATTTCAGGCCCGCAGGAGGTCGTGCGGTCCTTCGGTTGAGAAAAGCCCAACACGTTAAAAAATACGATGACCCAAGCGGCAGAACTTCATGTTTCTATTAATTTCCGAACAATGGGCGAGGTAAAGATACCAAACCTCCAGCTGTTACCTGGGAAGAGTTGACCAGAGAAAAACTGAACAGGTAGTTCTTCATAAAGACGTATTTACCTTCTCACTTCTCTCGTCTCCTTGATTCGGAAGAAACCACAATTCAACAGCAAGTCAGGTTTGTAATACCAGAACAGAGCGCGTACAAGAGCAGCTGCACAACAAAACCTTCCAGCGAGAGGCATCCTGCACCGCAGCGGGTAAGCGATCAGCCCCGCATTTAAACTTTCCAAAGCAGTTAAGAGCAGCTCGAAACTAACTAGTGATTTTTAAAGCACCTGCTTAGGAGCTGAATGACAACTTTTATTCTTTTGGACAACTGAAATCTTGAGGTGACAGCACGCTATTAAGCCACATGATCTATTTAGAGCAATAAAATGGTCTGTTTTCCTTTACCAGTAGAGCTCAATCATCTTCAATTTCTTGTATTCACCATATTCAAAGCGTTGCTCAGAAAGCAGAGTGTCAGTTCTGCACAGGATCAACCACTTTTCCAAGCAAGAATTAAATCCCCAAGTCCAAAACCGAGCCCGAGCGCCGCGGTGCCGACCCCAGGGGCCTCCCCCACCCCTCCCCTTTACGTTTCAGGAGAAGACTTGGTTTAATGAAGATTAGGGAGAAAATGTTTTCCAAGAACTATATAAAGCACTGGATTTTGTTTGGATGCCATGACAAACCACACGTGAAGAATAAAAACTTTAGGTAACACCAAAGAGGGCGACTTGAATAAATCGCTGCAAGTGCCCAACACTTGTGCCTGACTACCCGACTGCATCCAGATCAAATTCAAGGTGTTCGCTAAAACCTGAGCCTCAGAATCATTTAGATGAGGCCTCTCTCTCCTTCTCAACAGTCAGACAGCTAAAGAAACTGAAGCCGAGGAAGCTCCGCTATTAGTTTACAGTTTGATTTAAAAGATATCCAGCAGTGCGCACTCTCTTAAATTATCTTGGTGATGCTGGGGAAAAGTTGCTGGTTGAAGAGGCTAACTTAACATAAATAAAAATAACACAAGAAGCCAGACACAATTACAAGACTAGTTAAAATTTCTCAGAACACACCAATACTGAATTGATTTCTCCTGTAACAGAATGAACACAGCATCAAATATATATTTTTGCCCTTAAATAGAACAATTTTATTCAACCAAATCCAAGATTATTCCAAAACTATTCCTCAGGATTGACTTATAGAATTATTTTTGCTATTTTTCCTATTCAAAATCCCTTACATATTGCTTAGGAAAAAAATCTTGTCTTTGAAGTTTTAATTTAAAAAGCATTTTGTTGGAAAAACAGTGAGAAGGTGAGAATGCATTTTTTTTAATCGTCCTTTTCTGTTTCTCCAACAAAACTAAATGGAATAGTGAGAAGTTCCACCAATATTTTGCTCAACTTTATAAAAATGAGATTCAAGAAGTGTGACTTCCAAGTAGCCTAGGCGATGGCAACATTAGCAGACACATCAGGAGCTGGGAGTGACTAACAATGCAGAGTTTTAAGACTGTGGTCTTCAGTCATGCTGCAATTCTAGCCTGCGTACTAGGCACTGCACTCTAAGCCTAGCAAAACAATTTAAAGTTCTCTTTATTTCAGTAAAGTTGAAATAATTTTACTTTGAAGATTTTGGTTCAGGGCCCTCAAGGCTCAATCCCCGCGGCAGCAAGCGAACCAGCATGCATCGTATTATTACAGGACTGGCTGAAGAGGATGAACGTGTCCTGTCCCTTGCGCGTGTTAGGAGCTTGTACCGAAGAACAGGCCACATCCCAAGGCTGTATTTTGAAAGCATTATAATCTTTTACTTTATAGAAAAGTTATGTTTCCAGCCAAAAGTCTCTTCCAAGTAAACAGACATGTTTGTGGATGACTTTCAAGATCCAAATAACCTAGTGGACGCAACAGAAAAAAAATAGATGAGAACCGGGTACAACTGTTAACAGTCATGCCAATGCCTTTCCAGCTCACACCACCAGTGCACATCTGGCCATCGGTTTTGCTCCCCCATACATCAGACCATATAGCTACGTAAGTGAAGGAAAGCAGCCTGCTAGCCTGCCTATCAGAACTAAAACCTGTTTTCAGAGACTATTCTCAAGGCTGATTCCATTCTATTATTTGCTGGTTTTTTTCCCCCTCCTAAAATGAAAAACATCCCAAAAGTTAAACTGAAATGCTGACCCAAATGATGTTTTATCTAAGCAACCCACAACAAGGAACACTATATCTAAGGCTAAATGACTCACACGCTGGCAGAGAATGTTTTCATGCACTACAGGTACCCACATTAGCAAAGAACTGTGAGGTCAACCAACGTCTCTTTGAAGATTGAAATTAAAAAGTGAAATGAAAAGGAATTACGGAACAATAGAGTGGGAGAGAGAGAGATCCGAAATGAAGTATATGTGCAAGAAAAATCCCAACATATACGACTTCCTATAAACAAATGACAAGATGCTGCACAGCGTTACTTACACAATCATGCAGAACATCATGAAGACATTCCACAAGGCAATGAAGATTCGAAAATATCTGAGACTCAGCAAAAACTCTCTGATATTATCACCTAAAAATCAAGAGAAGAAACCTTTGACGTACAAATTACCTAATACACTGACAAGTCACATTTTCAACACTGCCTGAAAAACATAAGCAACTATGACACAGAAAAAACCAGAAAGGTCAGAGAACAAAAAACAGAAAGTTGAAGTTTCAGGGAAATGATCCATACTATGTTCAGTGCAACCCTACTAAGGGCATGTGGGAAAATAAACAATAAATGATAAAAAGGGGTCACACTATTAAAAAGGGAAGGACAGCCCTCCGTTGTAGTTTCCAGCCTTCCTGCCACTTTTAACCAGCAAGCAGAGATGCAAGCAGAGATACAAGAGAGCAATGCAGGCGCACACACACTAAAATGGGAATCGGGTTGTAAGCAGAGCATTACCTCTGTAGCACAGGCACCTACATTCAAAAACGCTGAAAGAAATGTGCATTTTTCTATTTCTTCTCAAATCACCAATTTGGGATCAACAGTTAGGTTTGTCATACCCGTATGAAAACATCACGGAGGAAAATTTTAGGTTGCAATTTAGGAAACCAGTTATCCCAGCCACAGAGTAATTCACATCCAAACAAAACAGGGTTAAACTTGTACTTTGGCGCCTTGAAAATGCTTTAGCCAATAATTTCCTCCAGAAAACGCCCGTTCCTGTATATATGCAGACAACCCTGAGCAGAGAGGCCGTCCAGGGGCACGGGCGCTCCACGGCTCCCGGCTCCCCTCCGTTACCGGTGGTGGGTTCCCTCGACTCCTCGCCGAAGCCCTCCGTGTCTCTCTTCCTCCTGCGGGACAGCGAGGGGGGTCCGTATCAGGCAGGGTGAGCCCCCCCAAACTCCCC